TTTTTTTAATTTCTTTAAATCTGAATTTCTGATGATTCTTGTGGAATTGATGCTGCAGTACTATTATCATAATTTCTTTAGTGTGTAAACAGGGTTAGGGTTCTTGCTACTTGTTAGATACTATAGTAGAAAGGTTATATGGGATGGTGGTCCCTCCTCTTAGTTGTGAGAAAGGCTTTGCTCCATCATATGAGCTACAATGCAAAGAGGAAAAGACCATTGCCCTCCAAAGGAGAAAAGGACAGATATCATTGTACAGTGGGAGCAATGGGCCGCATCAGATCACTAAACTATAAAGATATTGTAGTGGAAGGAGACTCAAGGGTGGTTATTGGACACCACAAAAGTAGTAGCCTAGACACATGCTGAGAGAAATAAGAAGCCTGACAAGGGAGTTATGGGCTTTGTTTATTTGGACTAGGAGGGTAGAAAATGGTTTGGTAAATGCTTTGGTTAGGGTGTAAACACAACTTAGTTGTACCAATGTTATAAAAGGTATGCCTAGGCACAGAGGTAAGGCTCATTTTACTAGTAACTGTGCATGTGCTTTGCACGTGGCAATTATAGACGATGATAATGATAGTTATAATGTATCCAAAATTTTCTATAAACTTTATCTTTTTTTTGTTCATTTGTCAAAAAATGTAGATTTAAATAGAGGGAATTAAATGAGGTGAAAARTAGTAGTTCRATTTACAATTTAAACCTCACAATTAAATAGGGACTAAATTAAAAAATGAGTACTTTAGTCAAAAGAAAGTTCCACAATCTTATGTATATTTTAATAGTAGTGTAGTGTAAATATAGAATTATAGATGTGCTCAATTTTTTCTATAAATTTTTTTTTTGTATTTCTGTGTAAAAACAATTCTGATACATCACATTTACTTTTTGTTTAATATGATAAATGTATGATATTATACATGTGCCTGAATGTTTTTTTGCAAAATTTATATATTTTTTCATTTTTGTGGACTGGTTGAGGAAAGGGGAAGGAGTCTCTTGGCACCTAAGGAATGGCCTTAGGAGATTCAAAAGGCTCTCCAGGGATATGCTGATTCAAATTAATTGGGTTAGAAGATCGACCAACAGTTTGGCTAAATAAGGTGTACAAAGACATTCTATGTTTTGGGCCAATATGTAATATTTGGGGGTTTGGACATCTGGTGTCCTCTTTGTTTCCTTCACAACTTCTCGTTGTATTGCTTTATTTAATTATAATCAAATTGTTTTTCTGAGTTATTGATAAAAAAAATCACATGTATTTATCTTTCTTAGGAATACTTCCCAACATGGGGCTTGCACTTTAGGCGGGATAGGCTTACTCCAAATCTCTTTCATTCGGAAGTTCTCCCCCAAAGTATTGGATTGTATGAGAGTATTAAAGAATGAAGCACAACTGCACAAGTAAAAGAGCCATCAGGAGAAGCAGACTAGACTCTCATATCCTCCAT